ACTTAATGATGAGTTAAGCAAGATACAATTTCCCCACTTTTGAGGGAAATGTTATTCCATGGCATCATTATTTGTATATTTGTGTGCGTGCCGACGAGCGTAGTTACAAGTTGCTTACGCCTACATGAATTTGGTTTTTGCCTCACTTGTGACAGTTCGTTTGATATGAAACTATCATTCTATGCGTTATTATTCTAAGTAAGTAAGTATAGAGAAAGCTAGACAACCTTCCATTAAGTCTAAGCTAATAGTATCTTAATATTTTAGACCTTGGGAGAGGCGAGAGTTTAAAATAAATATAATAATAATAATAACTATATAATCTGATATAACAATGACTGTTAAATCTACAAAGACCACCTCATAGATATTTTACCTTTAGCAGACGAAATCAAACAGATGTGGCACCAAGAAACCATCAAGATAGTCCCCATTATAATTTCGTCAACTGGTGTCATACCGAAAATCCTTCATACCGCCTTAAAAGTGATAGATCTGCACCCTAAAACCTACATACCTCTACAAAAGTCAATTCTACTAGACACATGCTCGATAGTCCGCCGTTTCTTAAATACACCTGATTCAACAAACTCCACAAAAAACTACCACTCACTCACATCCCCTCGCAATACCACCACCGAACAGAATACTTGGCTTAGGCCCGTACCTGGTTCTAATAATCCGACCATCAGTCGAGTACAAGAAATAATAATAATAATAATAACGCACACGCTCAACATAGCCCCGCACTAGGGAAACCCTGAGTTGTCTTTGGGTGCCATGGACACACACATAGACAACCACAAATCACACCCAAACTCACGAGAGAAAGAAATGTAGGCCATATACGTATTTCAAAAAAGTAAAGTGATCAATCATTAGTTATATAAGTATTAGTTATGTTTAACATTAATGCAAACCACTCTTTTTTTCACTATAGTTACAAAACTTATTAATAGCTTATTTTTAACTTTTTTTTTTTTTTAATTTTGAATTTTATTTGGAAAATTTAAAAATAGCAGTAGGGCTTTTAGGTGAAAGAGTTCACCCGGGGAAGTACTTCCACATTACCTATTTCTGCCGCCAAACAGCAAATGGCAGGCACATGAGGCTTGTCAACGTCTCAATGACTCGAGGTGACATGCGCAGTGGCAGTGGCCCTCAGATCATTGCGATTTATAGCTCTCAGTGGCACTGCAACTGTCATGGACAGGCATGTCGCTTACTTTTATTGTCGTTTACTTGTTATCATAAAAAAAATCGGACATTTATTATATATTAGTTGGTCTCTATAAGTGGCGACGCGTGAAAACAGTTGTTAGTAAAGCCGGAGAAAAACAAAAAACACTTCCCTTAAGAAAAAGTGGCGCCTTGGCGACACCTAAACACAACTTATTAGCACACAAGTTACTAGTACACTTTATTTCACTAGTTAACTTATTGTACACTCAAAATTTGGCACAAAATGAAGTATTTGATAATACGTGTAAAATTTTAGGCAAGCCGGTGAAAATCGGGTTATATTGACGCCTCGCCACTGGTTTCTACAATTCCGAGGTAAGTACTTTACGATATCGATGCCTCCGTGGGAGAGCGGTTGATTTCCAATTATAAAGTTGACGGTTCGAAACTTCGTGGCAGCATGTACCTATGACATTAATTTCCAAGTTACGTAAGACATATTGTGAGTGTTTTGTAGCAATAACTCTTTCTAACGATAAAAGAAAAAACCGTTGATAAATATGTGAACCCACAGAAATGTAAATAAATTTATTTACATTGCTGTGTGTGCAATGGAAGTGTTATAACGGACACAGAAGCGGAAACAGATATCAAAAGTAAAACTCAGCAGAAACGGAAACGGATACGGATGCGAAAGTGTAAATACTGTAAAGATCTCAACGGAATAGTTCCAGATTGGACTTCTTCTTGGTTTCATAAATTGCATTAACACAAAACATCAAATAAACGCGCGCGCCATCACCAAGCAATCCACGCGCGTCTCGTCAGTTGCGAACGTTGTAAACTTTCGGTTAAAGTTCCGTTACGAAAGTTTTGGAAACGGAAACAGCGTGCGGAACTTCCGCAGTTGCAGAAGCAGAAGCATAAGTCTGTTGCATCATTAATGTGAACTCAACTAGCATAGGGTCAGCGTATCTTTGTTTAGAGGAGAGCAGTAGTGAGACGTATAATAATGTAATCACCTATCATATTACATTGAGTAGTTACGAAAAAACCTTACAAGTAACTACTTAGGAAATAAAAAATTAAAAAAATCATTTATTTCGGGCCTCAATGACCCATATCAAAATAAATTACATTGAATTTGAAATAATAATTAATACCTACAGTTAAGAACTAAAATGACATAATCAAAATTAAAAAGACAAAGGTTATATAAAAATTAAATAATATAAAATTAAATTAAATAAAAACCAACATTCTAATTAAAATTACACGTTACTACAAAGATTATTAATGTCCAAATCGATTGCCTCCATTACTGGCACCATAGCGGGCATCTTTATCACAACAATGCCGAATATAGGGGCAATCTAACCTGCCAGCTATCATAGCAGAAAAAAATTGTTTGATATGAAACAATTTTTTTTCGGATTTAAATCACATACATTAACTGCCTCAGTGGCCGAACGGTTACCATGCCGGACTGCCACGCAGAGGTCCCAGGTTCGATTCCCGGGCCGGGAGAAATGTTTGTATGGCTTACATTTATTTCTCTCGTGAGTTTGGGTGTAATTTGTGGTTGTCTATGTGTGTGTCCATGGCACCCGCGACACAGGGTTTCCCTAGTGCGGGGCTATGTTGAGTGTGTGCGTTATTTATTTATTATTATTATTATTTGTTTTTTACAGCAAACCAACGTTTTGGGCCAATGGTCAGGGCTGGCTCAAAGCAAACTGTTGTTTGATAATTAGAACTTTTTATGAAAAAAAAAAACACCTCATAAGGTCCTGGAATTACATCTATGTGCCTAGTTTTATTGAAATTGGTTACAAGAAAGTGCGCAAAACCGGATTCATCCTACTCCTTTTCTGAAGTCAGTTAAAAATAAAAAACAAGTATAAACGTTTTAGGTTCCAAAAAATAGTTTCATTTCCTATGTATAATAATCGCGAAAACCTAGGAACTCTATAGTTTCAAGTACTGTTAAAGGCAAATAAGTAGCACCAACAACACACACATTACACTGAATGACTGAATATAATTTATTGCTTTCTTTGAAATATACGATTACACGATAACTGTACTAGTTTAGAAAACTTGACCAAAGTTTAATGCAAAAAATGTTTTTTATTTAACTGTTAGCTTTTATTTTTAAAATTTTAATAACATATTTTGAATTACTAAGGGCAAAAAATGAACACTACATTTTAGTGTGCCAAACAGTGGAACGAAGGCGACGACGACGGCCGCAGCTGTTGGCGGTGACGTGCGCCGCACCCGCGCGCAACACTAATTATGAACTTGATAGATAATAAGATGGACATATTTACGTCACCGCTGAGTGAATTCACAAAGATTGCTTTATTTATCTGTAGTTATAAGTTAAATATGTAATAAGTTTCTATTTGCATATTAATCATATTGTCTAGACCATCACTCTGGGTATATACACTGGAATGATAGTTTTGTTACGGCTATTATAAATTAACTTACGAATTCACCGATTCTTAAAACATTTTCATTAAAATGCACCGACCACAAAAATGTTTTTATTTTCATTCGAATTACATCTATATGCCAAGTTTTATTGATATCGGTTATAAAGGTCTTCTTATTATTATTATTATTATAGTGGCTTGTTCTGTCTTTCACAATAATAGATAGATAGATAGTAGATAGATAGATAGATAGATAGATAGTAGATAGATAGATAGATAAATAAAAATAAACAAATAAAAAAGGGAGAGAAGTTATAACAATGGAAAGTGGGTGAAATTTAATAAACAGGACTCATCCCCTAATTGGCTACCCTTAGAGGTGGAATATTTTTTCAAATTCAAATTTGAGGCATTCTTTTCTAACAAAAAAGGATCATCGAAATCGCATCACAAATATCGGAGGAATTGCGTAACACACAAAAAAGTACAGACGAACTGAGATTGAGAACCTCTTCTTTTTTTAAAGTACGATGAAGATTATTTGCACATGGAGAAAACTTGGAAAGTTTTGATCGAAAGCCTTATCAGCTTGCGTCACGAGCTTCTATTCCTTTATTAAACGATACAGTAACATCGCCAACCCAACCACGTAAAATTGTTCCGTTTCTGTAAACAAACTACTACTGACATAGGGCTTCGTAAATCGTCCGGTTTTGTATATACGACCATATTACTGATCGTTAATAATTCCAGAGTAGAGCCACTTCAAGTTCTGCAAATTTATATCGAAGCAGGTGAAATATGTCTGTCTCTCTTCGTCGTTGATTTCGATATTTGTTAGAGCAAGACGGCGGACTCGAGCTTGAAACTTGCCAGCGGGACATCGACCAGCAGCTTTCAGAAAAACTTAGGCTGAGCAATGTAGTGATGTAACCCAAAAAACGTTAGTATTTTAGGTGCAATCAAAAATGTATATTATTTTTAAATTCATGTCGTAAATGCTAAGGTTGATGTGCTCTTGACTAAGTTTTTCTTACAGGCTCGTCGTTATTTACCGCTTCAAACATAAGTTAAATTTTCAATGTGGTAAATTAGTAGTACGTTTACGAACTGTATTTATTACATCGTCGATATATCTATGTTCCTTCTGCTACTCTTGAATGTACACTGTTGAATGTGTATTATCTTTACATACAAAACACCGTCAAATCAATCAATGACTCAGCGCTGAGTTTTGACATAAATTTTCAAGTTACAATCTTTTGACACAGCGTACTTGCCCCGTGGACATCGACAAAAACCGTGCAGCCTGCCCGTGAGTGTGTGCGTGCTTTGACGTAGCGACACACGAGCACACTGACGCACGCGCATACCGCCGGCGCGGGCGCAGAGAAACCGTGCCTGTGCGTTTTGCATTCAGTTGTAAGGCAAGTTTTAGGGTCATCAAACGATTTAGAGTGAACCTTCATACTTTACACGTCAAAGACATTCCCAACGTTGTTCCTAGCTACACTTTGTTGAGTTTATGAAATATACTTAGGTTTGTGAATATAACAAGTGACTTTCAACTTATAGGTCGTGTTGCGCATTGTCATACTTTCGTACGTGTTAAGTTTTGGTTAAGTTATACAAGTTTTAAGCTCGTTTCGGTTGTGACTATGACTTATTTGATGATAGATAGTGACTTCACCCTTATAGTTGACATGGAAGGATCTCTAGTGAGATGAAGATGTGGGAACTTTTTTACGTAAATTCCGTGAGAAAAAAGTTTGCTATCGGTTTGCCATCGAGTAGGTAAGTTCTTACTTTGTATTACGAATATTATGATGAAAATGGTTTTGATATAAAATTTATGGAAAAATGAGAAACCGTCATTGAATAATGATTACGGATAATAATGTGGAAATACTGAAGCAAAGATTGTTATTCATGATTATTTTTGTATTTTGATAAGTACTTCTGTAGTTTCGCAGCACATTGTCAATACAATGAATCATGATTTCGAGTTTCTTTTGTCTTTATCTTTGGTGTGTTATGATCCAATTGTGACGATGCCGACCTACTTTTTTATCACCTCTTTTATCACTTACTTTTAAAATTTTGAGTCGTTGACTAGAATTCCTTTTCCTTCGTAGTGGAAGGAAAGTGACGTTGGTTCTTTCCGTTGGTTCTTTCCGTCACCACTCCCATCAAAATTCTCGAAGCAAGAGGAAGTGGTTATTAATCATCATGTATCACTTCCTACATAACTCCTGAAGCGAGAGGATGTGCATTCCTCTGGGAAATTGTTTCTGCTTAAACGTCAATAATTTCTTATGTGCGTTTTATAACAAAGGAACATAAAAATGTGTGGAAAACTGTTTGTTAACATACGCCTATGAAGCTTTCGCTAAGAGTTCCCGCTACGTCAAGAAATGACAAACCTCTTCGAGGATACCAACAGGGCTCTCAGACAAATCAAAGAAGTGTACATGCCACACTATGGTAGGTACCTAGGTCGTGTCTATGTTTTAACCAACATGAGTATAAGTCCACTTACTTATTATATAGGCAACTAAGCTTACTTCTAGACCTTAGGCTATATATTTAAACCCGTTCATTGGTTAACTATAATTTCTTATGACTACTTATGAGATACTTAAGTCGTTTCGAATTCCCATTAAAAGCCTTAAGCCTACGACACAAGGAACGTAATCCGTTGAAAATGCTGCTTGTCTTTTGCTTCTGCACATAGCCAATTATTGTAATCGTAAGTAAATGTTATTAAATAAAAGTTTTATGTAATTCAACGTAAAGAGAGGTTTTCCCACAGTTAACATTAAACTAACTAGATGGCGCATGAAGTTCGAAGAAAAGCGCAGTCAATAATCGGGCTATAATACTGACATAAAATCTTTCTTGTAGTATCTACTCCCGGTGTCTTTGTTAAACTTTTTTAATCTAGTAACTCGTTATTTCTAATGCAAAACAACATTATATTACTGCTCATGATGGTTTACTTCTTTTTTTTAAATAATTTTGTATCTTTATGCACTTCCACTTTAATAAACAAATTATTAATAGAAATAAAATTCTTATTTCGCCACGAGATTTTCTTCACAGCGAGGACTTTTCATATTTTAAGGTATTTATAGGCGTTTATGCCTTTTGTGTTGCTGATGCCAGGTTATATATTTTCAAATACTTTTATATGTTTCTTTTTGCAAATATTTTTATCATTTATGTGTGGCAATTCACCTAGAGAACGCTGCATGTCGTCGTGATTTTGGAGGCGAAATAAAGGTCAATAAATGAGAAATCCAATACGCTAGGCAAAAATTATACAAAAAAATTATGGAAATTTGATAATAATGTCGTGTGTTTCTAATATGGCATATTAATCACAATTCAGATTCTACTGTAGGGTTTGAGGAGGATTATAGAACAGGCAAAGATTAAAATATTTGTAATCACTGAAATGGGAGTGTGGATACACCCTCCTTATGATAAACAAACGTAATCTACATTTTTAGCGAATTTCAGTTATTATTGAGTTATGTTACTAGCAGTTGAGCTCCTTGTGTAAGAGTTCGTCCAGGGAAGTTCTGCCACCTTATCTGTTTCTGCCGCCAAGCAGTAATGTCAGTATTCCTGTGTTCTGGTTTCGAAGGGTAAGGGTGCTGGTGAAATTACAGGCACATAGGACTCAGGGTGACGGGCGCAGTGGCAGTTCACATTGTACAAATATTTGAGGGGTACTTACTGTCACTGCGCCCGTCACCCCGAGAGATAAGTTGACAAGTCCCATATGTGCCTGTAAGAGTCCTCTTCCTAGCTACCTCTTACTAGCGTCTTTCCAGCGTTAGCTTCTTGCCAACTGCCCTTCAAACTGGAACACAGTAATACTGACATTACTGCTTGGCACATGGGACTTGTCAACTTATGTGACAGAGTGGTGGGCGCAATGGCAGTGCCTCTCAGATCTTTGCGATTTAAAACTCTGAGTGGCACTGCAACTGTTATGGACAGGCGTGTAGCTTACCATCGATGTTACCACCATTGATGTTATTAAAAAAAAGTTATTAACACAACATCTCTGGGACCAGCGAAACGAGCCTTTATAAGCGGTTTTTTATATCATAATTAGTTCCAAGTAGTTTATTGAATGTCACGATGTTTCGTCATCGTAATATTCAATCTCTTTTTGTGTTACTCCACACTAGTTTGTTATAATTATTAAGAAAGATCGGACACTTAGAAAAATTTTTCGATCCAGCTGGATTCGAAGCTTTAGGCAGTGGGCCTGGTTACTAATTATTTTTGTAATTTAAAACAAAATACTTTAAAAATTAACGCGGTTGCACCTTAGACTATTCCTTTATTTTTTTCCATCCTCTAAGGGTTACACAGGCAAAGGACGAAGGGTGCAGAAACAATTTTGACAGCAGTGAAATCTTATACAATGACTTAGATTTACATACCTTCACCCAGTTTAAAGTTATAACATGTTGATGCAATATCTATTTATTCTAATATATAAAAATTAAAAACGACTAAAAATACAAAGTATTCAACACCAACTAAGCCACGGATCGAACCATCGGACCTCACGAATTCTTCTACGTACTTGTTGCAGGTCTTTGTTTTCGGTTTTTGACGACTTTTTTGCCGTAACGCCATCTGTGAGAATTCTATTTCTTCACTCGGCCAGGCATCTTTACAGCTACCAGCAGGTGCCTAGAGATGTCGCTTTAATAATTGCAATTAAGTTTCATATTCAATTATTTTTTGTGAAATAACTCCATTACTTTGTTATAATTATTAATACAAAGATCGAACATCTAGAAAAAAATCCTTCGATCCAGATGGATTCGACGCAACTTCTAGCAAACCGTGCCAGACGCTATGCCAACTAAGCCACGGAACAAACCAGCGGACCTTACGAAATATTGTGCGTGTTTTGTATGGTTTCATACATTCCTCGGCATAACTCTGCGCACGCGGCGATCAACTTTAGCCACGTATTATTTAAACATGCAACTCACACTCTATTTTCACGTAGTAAGTTACCAACTGTCCACCTATACAAGGAAATATTTGCCACCATAGTATCTGTATTTACTATATCTGTACGTACAATATACTTTTACCATTGTCTTTGCAAGTCTTTCTCTGCGTACTAGCACTACAGTCCATGTGTGGAGTAAGGTGGACCATACATGCTCGTCGCAGTGTTTTTGGTTTTATAATGGTTTTATACGACTTTGTTTTGCGGTAGCAGCGCCATCTTTTCAAAAACTTAATGTGCCTATTGCTCGAAAGTTGCCAAAATACAAACGCCTTGTTTATAACAAGGAGGTTAGAATAGGTAATAAGAGCACACTAGAATTGAAGAGTCGCAAATGCGATTCTGTAGTATTAGATTTCTAAAACGTGTTCTTGAACTATAGGCTCACACTAGTAGACTATTATAGATAAATGAAATAGTGTAGACATAGGATTACTTTGCGGTATATTTATTAATCAAGTTTCACGACTAGTTTATATTAAATCACAGTGTTCAAGTAAATATTAGACTTTGCTAGAATGTGAAGGAAACTATTAAGTTTTACTAAATGCTTGTGAAAGTGCCGCCCTTTAAGGGACTCACCACATTTATTCACACAGAAGCGCTTTGAGCCGGACAGAAAAACTTTTATGTCCATGCAATAAGAGCGATAATTGCGATAAAAGCGCCGATGCGAATAAAGCGACACAAAAATGACTACAAGTTATATGTAAATCGTCTGCTTAAAGGTAAACCGAACACATAAGCCACAAAAGTGACATTTCCACAAAAAAACTGTAAATTGTGTACCGGTTTTAAGAAAATCACCATCTTTCTGCAGGTATAACTCTTATTAAGTTTATAGTTTTATTGTTATTGAGTTTCACGTGCAGAAAGGTAGTGATTTTCTTACCATAATATATTCTTAACATAATAAATTAAAGACTTTTTGCTTAAAATGTCACTTATGTGATTTTACCTTTAAACAGACGTTACACATTGACCTATATTACTTGTTTTTTTATCCCTTACTACCTTTAAATAATGATGTGTTACATACATAAATAAAGTTACTTTAGCAGCCAGAATCAAAACACAGTATGAGCATTTGTTACGTATTTGGTTTTGTTGTTGCACAAGAAAATTTGGAATAAAATTTGGTTTTACTTTAATAATTTAACTAACTAAAATTTCACTGCCGAACAGTTACCAGGTCGAACAGTTACCATGTCGGACTGCCACACAGAGGTCCCAGGTTCGATTCCCGGGCCGGAAGAAATATTTATATGGTCTACATTTATTTCTCTCGTGAGTTTGGGTGTTTTTTGTTGTTGGGTCTATCTATGAGTCTGCCCATGGCACCCGCGACACAGGGTTTCTTAATGCGATATACCGTGTCGTTAAGAATCGATGTAACCTCAAATGACTTTTTTCTTTTTTTTATTCAATAGGTACTTTACATATACCAATGTTTTTTTAATATCAACTGAAGTAAATAGAACACCTATAGTATACAATATACATTTTTCAAATGACTATTTCGTTTGTAAAATAAAAATTCTGAAATGAACCCAGTATCCCCGCCGGTCGACTCCCGCAATAAAACCGATTGAGTGCGGAAAACATTTGAATTCAAGCTAAGGTAGTATCTACTTTTAAATAAAATACATAGTTGTACAATTCCACATACCAACCTACCTTTGATGTATAATTTCTCTGTGGCCGAACGGTTACACTCTGGACTGCGACGCAGACGTCGTTCCCGGGC